TATATACATACACACATATATATATATATATACATACACACATATATATATATGCACACACACACACACTCACTGCCAAACATGACATGAAATTGAAGCAATAGTTATGCTCAGAGTTGAATACTAGTTGACCAGCTCAATACATACTGATTATACACTGTATACTACTTGCTATTCTTTAAAAATAATACGTTAAAGGCATTATTCCATGCTCAAAGATTCGAAATGATTAATACTAGATTGTAGTCATGTGACCTCATCATGTTGCATGTGAGTGGATCAAGTTATCATCTTCAGGAAAACATAGTTTAATTCACAATTTAATTCAAATTCGTGTAAAAGACGTTTCGAGTCATAGAAGGGATGTTGAAACTTGCAGCTGTTAATTCATTCATCACACTGAACATGTTGAATTTACATCTTATCCGCAACATTTATGACCTCAGCAGGTCAAAGTGACGGCGGTGAATACAAAAACGCATGAACAGAGATACCAAGAATAAGTGTTGATGATTAGATTTTATTCATAACAGGTTCCAGGACACATTTTTACACATCTCTCTAGTTAGCATAGACCCTACCAAATCTATCATTTGTGGACATTTATATATAAATTTCATTCACAATCCATCTCTGTTTATTGCCAGAATGCAATAACTAATAGTTTGATATTTGTACATCTGAATTTAACAAATAATTACTAATTTAAATAAAGCATGCTACTTTGAATATGTTTTTTCATTGAACATCAGATCAGATCTGTCACTTTATTATTTAAAACTGTTGCTGCTACAATATTGAGGTTTAAAAGCCACAAGTGAATTCCTGCTTTCCTGTTTTTATACAAGTGTGTGTGTGTGTGTGTGTTCAGCTGATCCTGAGCCCCCAAAGGACACTTTTCTCCAGCTGGTTTCTCTCCAAACGGCGTCAGGCTGCTGGGATCTGGACGCCACACTGGCTGATGTGTTTGGGAAGACGGAGGATGAGCTGACCAATCAGAAACCAGCACAGGTGAGAGATGTGATGAAATAATAAGACAGTGATGATTGTGTGCAGTGTCCAGTAACAAATGCAGTGGATGATGGTTTGTACACAGGTGGATGGGTCAGTATGGGCCACTCTCCTGGCTCTGATCTGGTTATACGGCTGTAAAATAGAGCAGCAGGTGGAGTGGCAGTTTGTGGCCATGAAGGCAGCGTCATGGATCGGCTCTCAGAAAGGTGAGATCTCCATTCCAGACCACATTCATTCAGTCAGCGTTCATCAAGAGACGTTTCAGCAAATATCTTCAGTTCTTTGACACACACTGATGATTTGAGTGTGTGTGTGTTTCAGTGGGAGATCTGTCTCAGTGTGTGTGTGGGGGGAATGTCCTGCTCGGATGTCAGGTGACCAAAGAGACTCTGGGAATCTGAAGATGTCAGTGTTTCTACACTTGACGTCTTCAGTGATGCGTCAGAAGACCAAAGAACAGATAACAGATAACTTAAATGATATCACGCTCTCTGCCTAATATTCCTGTGACTTTGCTTCTCTGCGCTTCCCCTCCTCTTGTGCTCCTTGTCTCCCCCCCCTCCTCTCTCTGTCTCGCTCCCGTTTGTGCTTTCTCTCTCTCTCCTCTCTATTGTCTTTACCTCTCTCTATCCCTTATGTTATACACGCATGCGCATATATGTATATCTCCTCATGAGTTCAAATGTTCATGTAAGGACAAGGGTCTTCCAGTTGGGGGGTTCACTGAATCCAATCTGAACAGACCCATCTGGATCTAGAGGTGTAGCTGGAAGAAAATCCTTTTGTTTGCCAAATGTATTCCTTTATATGTAGTTGTTTTTCTCCTTACATTCATATATGATGTAGTAGTGTATAATTTGTATTGGATAAAAGCACTGCACCACACCTTGCAATGTAACTATATAATTTACGGATGCAATAATAAACTTTGAAGAAGTTTGTGAACAGACAATTGGCTTCATGTTCATAATTCTTTCTATGGGCCCATGCAAGGACTGAGAATAGTCGGACGGCATCGAAAGATGAAGAGCTAAAATATTCGTAACATTTAATCAATGTTCAATCTCATATGCTCAAATCAACACCTAATTCTAGATATTTTAGCTTGCACCATCATTTGAGTATTATGTACCAAAGTAAAAAAAACAGTCATAAAATGGTTTTCTAAATATATCAAATGTTTCCAAGGTATAATAACTTAAATGAAGCAGGTCACATATAGTACTGTTCAGCTTTTGTTTTGAATCGAATTAAAAATATATATTTCAATTAAACAAAACTTTTATTAGTTTTGTCAGTGATTTACTAAAGCTGTTGGTCCTTAATCACTAACACTGATGATACTTTCATACAGCAGAATCATGTTTAGAGTGCAAAATATGGATTTCAACACTTACAATTAGGAAAATCCCCTTATTTCAACATTTCAACACTTGCATTGAAAGGAAAATCCCCTTAACTGAAGAAACATCCATGCGGAAGTTGCATTGAAACTTAACCGATCAAACCAGCGCACAGCTTCCGAACAGAACCTAATTAATATTCATGAATCAACGTAGGCACAGCCCTCCAGTAGGTCTTGGCAAGTCTGCGCACAAAATAATTAATATTAATGAGGCATGACTTCACTGTCGACTATTGGTCTTCTGACTGATACCGGAGAGGTGATTGAGCGACTTCGTTGTTTCCCCAAACTTTTGACATCATTGTAAACTTATAAATAACACTGATTTAATAGTTAAATGAGTCAGTCTGTAAAGATTTAAGGCCGTTTTCAAGGCAGCAGGGTCGGTGTTTGAGTTTCAGTTTCGATTTGAAGTAAACAGACGGAGCCTGAGAATGGAGATCTGCGGTCTTGTGACTGAGAAAAATGAACCAGGTATGAATTCACCTATTTACATGTAATGTTACCTGCTTCCTGAATTAAAACTTTTTAAAAGTAGGAGAGCTGAGGTGTTTTCCACGCGATTTGTCTCAGTATTTAACCCATTAATAACGCAATTTTAACCGAGATGTCATTAAGGGCTCAAGTCTCCTTCTCCTTTGTTTTTTTTTAACTCCGATATTTTAATTATATCAACACGTTCTTGTTTTTTCTGACAATGCGAGAGTTTAATAAACAATAGCGAATTAGTAAATCTGTCTTAATTCAGTAGTTGCCTAACAACTGACTGTGGTGGTCAGCTGACCTGCCTGTGGTGGCTCCTGCCTACCAGTCGAAGGCTGAACCCCCACTCAAAAATGTTCCTAAATGCGTCCCACTTCATAAATCGCAGTTCATCTTTAAATTCAAGCTCATCAACTCCACCTACAGAATGCCCACAAAAATCTCTTTATGATTCAGAAGATTCAGAAAGTTTATTTGTTGTGTTTTTGTGTTGGTTTGTGTGCCTCAGTGCCTCTGAAGAGCATCTCAGTGGAGGTTCTGGTTCAGGATCATGTAGCCACAGTCTCCTCCACTCTGCAGTATGTGAATGAGGAAGAGCGCCCCCTGGAGGCCTTGTTCGTCTTCCCTCTGCCTGCTGATGCTGCTGTCTGCCACTTCAGTGCCAAGATCGGAGAGCAGGACATTGTGGCAGAGGTGCAGGACAGAGAAACCGTGAGTCCAAATACAAACTGCAACTCAGTTGCATATATTTTTACTTTACATCATTTAACAAAACTGTATCCGATCAGGCAGTATGGGAGGCATGATGAATCAAGGGAAAGGAGCACAGATGCGCATAGAAAGTGCAAAGGTAAGATTTAATTTTGGGATTTTTGCTCTGTTGATGTATGTTCAGATGAGACACACTTGAATATCTGTCCATGTCTCTCTGTAGGACACTCTGCTGTTACTATTGAAGAGTCTGCCCATGGGATGCTACTTCAATATTTATGGATTTTGAGTCCTTCTTCCCGTTAGTGTCTAGATCTTCATTCATAGATATTCCCCTTCCAGATGATGTTACTGTTGACACACTGTCTCCACCCATCAATGTGCTCTTCCAGGGTCAAAGGACACTCATTTATGCCCAACTTAAAGGAGAGGTGAGATGATTTAGCATGTGTTTCTTTAATGACAATTAAAAACCAGTGTCTTTCATTTAGATTATTAAAATCTGCCTTTTCTCTTTCATAGAGTTCAGGAGGCCCTGAGGGAACAGTGACAGTCAAATACAGTCTCAAAGATCAACCAGTAACAAACCAGCTCCACTTCTGCCTCAAACCAACAGAGGAAACACAGTAACACACACAAACACACATAGAAACACATTAAATTGGAATGACATCAACTGTTTGCTTTTCTAATCCAACAAATTTCCTCCATGTTTCTGCAGGTTGTCTATTCACCGGCTGGTGGCTCGGACCCTGATCCGTTCTCTGGAGCAGAAGGAGAGGTCAGGTGCTGCAGATGTTGAGGGCATCAGGAGCAGGATGGTGGAGCTCAGTGTTCAGGCAGGAGTGAGCTGTGTTCATACAGCCTTCATTGCTGTTAATAAAGACAGCAGACAGACTGTGACAGGACCCCTGCTGCAGAGAAGAGTGCCAACATACGGTTAGTGCTGTTGTGTTAGTTGTGTGTATAAAATCCCTTTTAATTTGACTTGACTATTTGACGTTTACATTAAGATGTGAAATCAAATGTTTTTCAGATTCCCTGATGGAAGCAAATTGTGGTAAGGCAACAATCTGTTATTTAAGCACAAAGCGTCGTTGTGGCAAATTGAAGCACATTCAGCCACACCAAGTGTTTTGCAGCAGGAGGGGAGGAAATATATCTCAAGCTACCCATTCTTTTTTTGACCCAAGAAATTTTATAAAAATATGTTCTCGTCTCGTGCAGCCATAGGACAACTGGTAGAGTCATAGAAATTTCACATATGTGAGGAGAATGAGTCTGTGCAGGTTTCCTTCTGACATTTTGAAATAATTATTTGAAAATCAAGTTTTAACATTGTTTACATGTCTTTCTAGTGTTTTTAATATGGTTACAGACAAACCATGTGCAAATTCATCAGTCAACACCATTGCTGAGCATTTTCTTCTTAAAACTAAAGTCAAAAATAAGCTTTGAAATAGCTGTACTAAATGAATATACTACATGAGGTGAGGGGTGTAGAGTAGTATTCAAGCCATTTAAAGGCATGAATAAATTATTTTCCCTGGAAAAATGTTTAAATGTGTCACATTGTCAAAGATGATATCTAACCTAGTATATTTATAACTAATGACCGCAGGGTGTCTTTAATAAAGTCCTGTAAACAGTTTACTTGCGTTGCCGGGTTATTGATTTTGCATGTAAACCTGTAAAATGGGTTATATATTGCTACATGCTATTCTTTAAAAAAACAAATAAATGACAAACATTACTCCATAAATAATTGAGACAGCTGCGTTTAATTGCACTTTCAGCAGTAAAACGGTTATTTCAGTAAACATGTAAATTGTGCTCTGATTGTGTGTATAAATCACTTTTACTGTCACTTGACTCTTTGATGTTTACATTTGATGTGTTCACCTCATTAAGATGTGAAATCAAATGTTTTTCAGATTTACTTCTAAAATGTTCCCTGGCAGCATATGGTAAGAAAAACCACAGTCTGTTATTTGCATGTAATGACACATACTACCAGTCAAAATTTGATTTGATCTTGAACTTTAGTCATACTAAAGACTTAAAGGGGTCATATGTCGCTGAGGAAATACATCAACTTAGTGCTGTGGATTGCCGGATCGGCTTTCACCGTAGACGAAGCGGAGTCCAGGTCGTCACATGTGGTTGCCTCAAGCCCGCCAGCTTCCGCTCACTCTATCCTGCCGGCCGTTCCACACCAAATACACAAAATAATGTGCTTTTTTAGCAACGTCATATGACCCCTTTAAATTCATTTAAACAGGCATTAACACTGCTGCAGGTTTTAAGATATATAAAAATATGATTTTTGCAGCCATAATGTGTTTCTGTCTGTTGTTACGGTTAATCTTTAAGCAAGAAAAACATACAGTTTACATTTTAAATAACTTTTCTTTCTTTCTTTTTTTTTTTTAGTGAGTGCACCCAAACAGAGGATCGGATTCATGACAAGTAACACAATGAATACACAGCATCACTTAATCTCACTAAATGTGCAACACAAATGCAGCATCACCTCATGGTTAACGATTATTGTTGTCATTTGCAGAGATCCAGAATTTCTTCCGCCGTCGTTCTAAGAAGCATGTGCTCTGTTCCATGTCTGCTCCCATAGAGAAACAAACTCATCTACATCTTGAACAGGCTGAGGGTGAGTACATTCTCAGCAATTTTTTATTTTTGGTTGAACTATTCCTTTAAAACTATCTGCTATTCTTTAAAAAAACAAATAAATGAGAAGCATTACTCCATGATAAATAATTGAGACAGTTGCATTTAATTGCACTTTGAGCAGTAAAACGGTTATTTCAGTAAACATGCAAATTGTGCTTTTCAGCTGCTCCTGAGCTTCAGAAGGACCCGTTACTGCAGCTGGTTTCTCTGCAAAAGGCGTCAGGCTGCTGGGATCTGGACGCCACACTGGCTGATGTGTTTGGGAAGACGGAGGATGAGCTGACCAATCAGAAACCAGCACAGGTGAGAGATGTGATGAAATAATAAGACAGTGATGATTGTGTGCAGTGTCCAGTAACAAATGCAGTGGATGATGGTTTGTACACAGGTGGATGGGTCAGTATGGGCCACTCTCCTGGCTCTGATCTGGTTATACGGCTGTAAAATAGAGCAGCAGGTGGAGTGGCAGTTTGTGGCCTTGAGTGTGTGTGTGTTTCAGTGGGTGATCTGTCTCAGTGCGTGTGTGTGGGGAATGTCCTGCTCGGATGTCAGGTGACCAAAGAGACTCTGGGAATCTGAAGACGTCAGTGTTTCTACATCCTGATCCGTCAGAAGGCCAAAGAACAGATACTGTTTCATTTATCGTTAATCCGTTACTTGTTTCATAACATTTAGTCCATTTTTATTTGCTCAAATCTACAGTAAATTCTAAATATGTGTGACCTGCACCATTTGAGTTTTATCTACTAAAGTAAAAAAATATAAATATATAGCCTGGGTAGAGTGGAACCCCCCCAAGGACTGTGTACTTTTTTTTCTGTGAAACAAAAATTAAATGTGTCTAGAGTAGTTTTTAAAGTTTTAGTGACAATGACATCAATTATAAACCAAGTATGAAAAATGTCCAGAGTTTTCATGTTATTAGATTTTTAACAAAAATTAAATTGTACCAAGGGGGCATTTTCCCCCACTCTATACTATATATAACAATATGTTTCCAAGATAGTCATTTAAATGAAACGGGTCACATATAAAAACTCTATTGTGTTTTTGCTGTTTTGAAATGTAAAATAATTTGAATAAAATTACCGATTTTTAAACAACTTTATACTCCTGGTTTTTGTTTGTCTGTCAGTGATTTACTAAAGCTGTTGGTCCTCAATTGCTGAGGATACTTTCACACAGCGGCAGAATCATGTTTAGAGTACGGTTAAAATTAGGAAAAAGCAAGGAGATATTATAGAAACTTTTCTAAAGTATCACATAAAAAATACTATAGTAATTTATAGTAAATACTATAGTGTTTTTAAACCATACTATAGTAAAGTGTATTATACTGTATAATATTTACAACACTTTGTTAATGAAAGCTACAGCATACTGGAGTATGAACTATAGTGAACTGTAATAAATACTGTAGTATACTTTAGTTTTTACTACAGTAAACTGTAGTGTATTGTAGTATAATATACCCTATAGTTGTAGAAAACTTATTACAGTATTGGGTAAAGTAATGTGTTTATATTACTATAGTTGTTATATTACCACAGCAACTATAGAATTACCACAACAAATTAATTCAAGTACTTTACTATAGTATGGTTCAAAAACACTATAGTATTTACTATAAATTACTATAGTATTTTTTCATTAGAATTAGAATGATTGTCTTTCGAAAAGGCGAGAGGGAAAAAAAATTACCTTAATCAAAGAATTATCCATTCGGCTGTTGAAGTTTAAACACGATCAGAACACTGCATTTTCGGAGCACTGCGGTTCCGAACATAACTAAATTAATATTCATGAATCAAACGTGGGCACGGCGCTTCCGTACAACTCAATTAATATTCATGAGGTATGACTTCACTATACTGTTGATTCTCTGACTCAGCGGTGATTCAGCGACTTTGACCGCATTAGAAACGCTCAGAAACACTGATTTAATCATTTCGTGTCGATCTGTGAAGATCTGAGGCAGATAAAAACGCGGTTTCGGTGTTTGAGTTTCAATTTCGGTTTGAAGAAAAATCGTTATTTCGTTTAACGGAGCGTGAGAATGGAGATCTGCGGTCTTGTGACTGAGAAGAATAAGCCAGGTATTAATTCACCTGACCTGTTTGCTGTTGCCTGTTTCTTATATGAAAACTTTTGCTATATGTAGGAGAGCTGAAATGTTTTGACACATATTACTATTGCTATCTCAATATTTAACAGAATTTATGGTTTTCTCAAGAAAAACAAGAAAATTATTTTTCAACGGTCAACTGCGGCATGTCACACACCCCGTTCTCTTTGTGAGGTTTTCTTCTCTATTAGTGATGTTTTTGTGTTGGTTTGTGTGCCTCAGTGCCTCTGAAGAGCATCTCAGTGGAGGTTCTGGTTCAGGATCATGTAGCCACAGTCTCCTCCGCTCTGCAGTATGTGAATGAGGAAGAGCGCCCCCTGGAGGCCTTGTTCGTCTTCCCTCTGCCTGCTGATGCTGCTGTCTGCCACTTCAGTGGTTCGTCTTCCCCCTGCCTGCTGATGCTGCTGTCTGCCACTTCAGTGCCAAGATCGGAGAGCAGGAGATTGTGGCAGAGGTGCAGGACAGAGAAACCGTGAGTCCAAATACAAACCGCAACTCAGTTGCATATATTTTTATTTTACATCATTTGACAATACCCATCAGCCCTCTGCTATAGTGGAGGCAGGAGTGACCACTGCTCCACCAGGTAGAGGATTATGGGATTGAACTGGGATTATGGGATTGAGCGATGAAGGTGTCACTGACTCTTTCTCTGTTTTTCAGGTTCTCTGATGAGGGACCCAGTGGTCATGATAAGTTTGTACCCAGAGTTCCCAGAAGAATTGATGAAATCACTGGCAACTCAATGCGAGTTTGTTTTTGTGATTGACAGATCAGGCAGTATGGGAGGCATGATGAATCAAGGGAAAGGAGCACAAATGCGCATAGAAAGTGCAAAGGTAAGATTTAAGGTTAAAAACAGCATTTATTTAAATGTATTGAGATGAGACACATTTAAAATCATCATGAGACTTGGTTCACAACCAATTTTATTTCTGTTTTGTGACATTTCTGAGGAAAGCGATATATTTAATGAGGAAGAATAATGTAGTCTGGGTCTGTATTTTATCCATCTCCATTTCATATCAGACTCCGAGTCAAGTGATTGGAGGGAAATGACTGAAAAAGTCAGAAGGGTTTGTGAGGTCAGAGGAAGAAGTTATTATGTTTTGATGAAAGACAAACCATGATTTCTTAGTGCACAATAAAACCAGTAATGTGCATTCGGAAAGTAAATACAATAGTTATGCTGTAGTAAATACTATAGTTTTGATCTCACTTTCACTTTCTGTCCATGTCTCTCTATAGGACACCCTGCTGTTACTGTTGAAGAGTCTGCCCATGGGATGCTACTTCAATATCTATGGATTTGGCTCTGATTTTGAGTCCTTCTTCCCGTTAGTGTCTAGATCTTTATTCATAGATTCAGTATTGAAATGTGTCAGTGGAGATGAGATGTTTTTCTGTGTCTTTGCAGTCAGAGTGTTGAGTACAATCAGGACACAATGGATCAGGCTCTGAAGAGAGTGAAGGAAATGCAAGCAGACATGGGCGGCACAGAGATATTACAGCCTCTAAAACACATCTACAGTCAGCCCTGTTACCCCGATCACCCCAGACAGGTACAACACCTCACTGTGCATCTGAACAACGCATTGTACCGATGTGAAGTCAGAGTTTTAAGACTGTTTTTCTCTCTTCAGCTGTTCGTCTTCACTGATGGAGAGGTGGGAGACACTAAAGAGGTGCTGGATCTGGTGAAAAGTCACGCTCACTCTCACAGGTAAAGCTCTGTTGGGTTTGATCTGTCCATCATTCATATCTTCATCACTAACAGTAACAGAGTTTATCGTGTCTTCAGGTGTTTCTCATTGGGGATTGGTGAGGGTGCGAGTGCCGCCCTCATCACAGGAATGGCCAGGGAGGGATCTGGTCACGCTCAGTTCATCACAGACACCGACCGCATGCAGCCCAAAGTAAAGCTCTCCACTGGATTTCACAGGCACAAATGTTTCCTAGTCAAATGTCTCAATGGCTTCTCTTTCTCTTCAAACTATATCAGGTGATGCAGTCGCTCAGGTTTGCGCTGCAGCCCGCTGTGCTTAATATCTCTGTGGATTGGACCCTTCCAGATGATGTTACTGTTGACACACTGTCTCCACCCATCAATGTGCTCTTCCAGGGTCAAAGGACACTCATTTATGCCCAACTTAAAGGAGAGGTGAGATGATGTAGCATGTTATGACATACAGACACTGTCTCATTTGTTTAGATAATAAAAATCTGCCTTTTCTCTCTCATAGAGTTCAGGAGGCTCTGAGGGAACAGTGACAGTCAAATACAGTCTCAAAGATCAACCAGTAACAAACCAGCTCCACTTCTGCCTCAAACCAACTGAGAAAACAAAGTAACACACACAAACACACATTTAGACGCTGAAAACCACAGCTCCAGTCCTGCTTCAGAGCAACTCACCTCTAAAACACCTTTTAAATGATCAAACTAGAAATAAAGCCTTTTGTTGCCAATTAATTTTATATAATTTTGACTTTAGAATTATAACCAGTACAAGTAACACAAATTTACACTATAATATCATAATAATATACCAGGACCATATCATTGATTTATTTTATCAGGATCAAGTTGACCAATATAATTTTATGTAATTAAATGCTAATTATTTTATAGTTTAAGTATAATTTATTACTTTTTATTTATGCCCCATTCAACCTCTCACCTTTATTAAATTAAAAGGACTTAATTCTTTAAACTTTTATTTGTAAAATGAATAGTTAGCCATACAGTATTTATGACTGCATATTGTGATACCTAAAGTGATTATCAATTTAGTGTATTGTTTTTTAGACAGAATAAGGTAGCTTTTTAATATCAGCCATTTATTGGTTTTCAGCTGTAAGATAATAATAATTATTGGCCAGAATTAATATCTGTGCATTTACTTAGGAAAATCTCCCTTCCTAGTTATTGAATCATCTCTCCAAAAATAATATAATCAGTAATTTTTATAGTAAATAACACAATATAGTAGTGCATTACTTTTATCTTCAACACATCATATCAAATGTTAGTTGTTTGTTAAATAAAATAAATTCTATTTAATTATTGTAGATTTTCAGTTGCAGTTGAATCGGCTCTTTGCTTTTCTAAGTCAACAATAATTCACAGTTTTCCTCCATGTTTCTGCAGGTTGTCTATTCACCGGCTGGCGGCTCGGACCCTGATCCGTTCTCTGGAGCAGAAGGAGAGGTCAGGTGCTGCAGATGTTGAGGGCATCAGGAGCAGGATGGTGGAGCTCAGTGTTCAGGCAGGAGTGAGCTGTGTTCATACAGCCTTCATTGCTGTGAATAAAGACAGCAGACAGACTGTGAAAGGACCCCTGCTGCATAGAAGAGTGCCGATATACGGTTAGTAGGGATGTGCATCTCGTGACTCAGGCCGATACGATACGCATCTCGATGCATAGCCAACGATACGATACATTAAAGATACATATGAAGCAGCTACCGATGCGATGCGATACGATTCACCCCTATTACGATGCAGTGCGATCCGATTTCGATTCGATTCGATTCAACACAATGCAATTCGATGCAATATGATGTAATGGAGAAAATATGATCACTTTTAATGCCTCGAGGCCTGTTTCATAAAACAAGTTAACCAAATAAGCCAGGCTTATTTCAGTTAGTCTGACTCATTGTCAAATGATTTGGTTCCATAAAGCAAATTTAACATAAGTCTAGATCAAGCTTAGTCACGTGGATCGATTTGATCCATGATCGACATTAAGGTCTGCTTAAGAATAAGCGTGCACAAATTAGTGAGATTGTGTGAATTTAATTTGTCGTTAATGGAACCACTTTAGCCCTGAGTGATTTGTTAGGTTATTTCAAGTCAGGTTTTGGACTTTAATCCCAGTTTTTCCTTGGGTCTCCGTGGTGTTGTGATGCGTCATATTCACGCAGCAGCAGCGGTGATGAGAGAGCGCGCTTGAGAAACAGTTTAGAGAGGAGAAATCAATCTACATATAAAATATTGGTCACAGATTATTGGTCACTTTCTAAATAATAAAAGTATTGCACATCCACTAGTAATTATATATAAATGAATCGTTTTTTACTGATGCAAATATGTTAGAAACGATGCATCGCGATATAAATGACAACTTGTAGCCGATGCACACTTTTTAAACCGATGCATCGCATCGTTAACTTTTTATGCCGATGCACCAAGCGAATCAGGGAATCTTCCCATCCCTAATGGTTAGTGCTCTCATTGTGTGTGTATAAATCACTTTTACTGTTTACTGTCACTTGACTATTAGATGTTTACACTGAGATGTGAAATCAAATGTTTTTCTGATTTGTCTTTAGAAATTGACACGATGCAAATAAATTATGGTAAGACAAACAATAATCTGTTATTTAAGCATAAAGATCATTGCTCATTACCCTGTTGTCACCTGGCATGTAAACACCTGCATTCCATCAGCTTGAAATGTGTCAGGAATTGGCCCAATCGGCCAATAGGGGGCGCTACAGTGATCAAAAACGCGAAAGTGCTCATAACTCCTAGACCGTTTGTCGTAGACTCAAATATATTTTTGGAATCCTTGGGTCAAGCCACACAAAATTGCCTCCTGGTGATTTAGGGTCCTGGAGGTCACGTTTTTTAAAATTTTGAATTATGTCCAAAACCTACTTTTGCGAACTAGTCCTAGGTTTTTTGCCCGATCAGAACCAAACCAGTGCAGAAATGTTCTCTGGACAGTCAATATCAATAATTATAAAAAAAAAAGTTTAAATTTTGACTCACCGTCGCATAGGGACACCAAAACGTCCGTTAGGGGCAGGGCCACTTTTACTAAAATGCCTATAACTCCTGAACGGAATGAGATATCTTCACCAAACTCGGTACACATGTGTATAAGCTCAATCTTTGGTCAAATAAAAAAAAAAGTGCGCAGCTCTGCTACTTGGTGGCGGTATAAAATGGAAAAAACATAAAAACTGCTATAACTATGCAACCATTGGTCCGATCGACTTGAAAATTGGTATGCAGTGTCTTGGTCCAAATTGGTACAAGTGTCTATGAGGACATTCCCATATCTCAAAAAACATGGCCGCCATTGGCCAAAGAAGTTTAAGCACCTATTAGACAAGGTTAACGGAGGTCGATCGGAACGAAACTCGGTGGGCATGTTCGACTCATGGCCCTAAAGGTGTGTAAGAATTTTGAAAGAAATTGGCCACTAGTTGGCGCTAATGAGTTTTATGGGTCTGTAATCACGTGGTGTTTCACACATCCGCACAATATGCACATCATTTGATAGATCTTCTCATAATGCATAACTTTGCCTCAAGAACCATTGCTGTCAATAAAATTGTTCATTAAATATTCTCAATTATGTTAAAAACCTACTTTTGCAAACTAGTCCTAGTTTTTTTCGATCAAACCACTGCAGTAATATTCTCTGGACTCTCTAGATCAATAATTATATTAAAAAAAAGTTGAATTTTGTCCTTTGAATAGCTATAACGGGGTCATTTTAAAAAGGGGTGTGGCCAAATAAATCCAAAAGCCTATAAAACCATACGAAAACTCACAACTTTACGAAACTTAGTGAAAACATGTGTCAGAAGACTCGTAATAAGCATGCAAAGTTTCATGGAGATCGGACCATAGGTGGTGCTATAACAGTTAAGAAGGCAATGACCTCAATTTGTAGAACATGTTCATATATTCACACAAACACTAGATCTTCATATCATATAATAGACCTCCTCATTCTGAACAACTTTGCCTCTGGGACCAATGCTTTCAATCAAACTGTTCATTAAACATTTGAGATTATTAAAAAAAACTACTTTTCTGAACTAGTCGTAGGCTATATACTCAAAATCAATAAAATCAGTGCAGTACAATTCTCTGGACTCTCTTGATCAATAATTATCAAAACACTTTGAACATTTGCATTTGGACAGTTATAACAGGGCCATTTCATAATGTGGTCTTGATCTAGTGTACCCAAAAGTCTATAAATCTTCAAAGAAAACTCAAAACATCACAAAACTATGTAAACTTATGCATTATATGATTCTAAACATTCATGCAACAATTTTATGGAGATTGGACAGAAACTGACACTGTAACAGTTATGAAGGTTAAAAACATTCTAATTTATTGAGATGCACCTGTATGCTGCATTCCCTGAAAGTGCAAATACAACCACTAGATGGCAGCAAAGGATCACTCATTGGCTCATTCTATCACTTGTGTAGTTCTTTTCTCAGGTTTTACTTAGGTACTGACATTCAGATAATAAATCATTATTATTACATTTGAAATCACATTTAGTCAAAGTTTACCACTTTATTTATACAGACATATTAGTTTTGACAATTATGCCACATTATAATTAAATGTAAACCTAAAAAATATTAACAGGACACTTCCAGTAAGCATTTTATTACCTGTAAGTTATTTAAAAAATCTATATCTACAACATAATGTGTGTCTGTGTGTGTGTGGACATGCATAGTCTTTATTAAGTAATAGAGTGTGTCTTAAGTAATATAGTTCAACCTTTTCATTATTCTGTGTGTGTCATCATATTCTCCGTCATGGATGCGTTCTGGTGACAGCCATACATTTCACGTTGGCTGAGACCCCTGACAGCATAGAAGCCATGAAGGCCTTTAAGTGCTTGAACCCCGGTAATTGCTGCTTGCAGCTATATTTTAGATTTGCTTCTAGGACATTTGATCCCACTATGTGTTAAAGGGGTCATGAACTGCCTTTTATTATTATTTTATACTGTTCTCTGTGTTCCACTTATAATGTTATCAAAATTTTTACATCAAGAAACATAATTTAGAAGTAATAGGCTATTTTCTGTCCTGTTTTTAACCCCCCTCATCAGAACTCTCTGTTTGAATAGGCGTGGCGGATTGTAGACTCGGAAATAAACGCCCACTGCTATGATTAGCTAGCAGTTGTGTATGTTTGACAGCCAACATCCTTCACAGATGGACGCTGCTGTGATTTAGATTAAAAATACATAAATATTCAGTACATAGCAAAAGATCTGTAATAACAGACAAAGCAATAGTGCAATAGCAACAGTTACTTACACTTGTGTTGCGACATTACTGTCGGATCCAATATAGTCGGCACAGCATCGTATTTTAGTTTCAATCTTTCTGAAAATCCAGGTCAAATTGAGCCTTGTTTGTAAACGAATCTTCTGTAAAATGAAGTGAACAAAGGACCGAGTTCTTACTGATGCTTCATTAAAAATAAAGTTCATCCACTCTTTCCTAATGTTGGTATCAGAAGGAATGCAATGCAAAGATGTACAGCGTCTTGTTGTCTTTGGAGCCATCTTTATCGTTTGGTTTTTGTGTAGACCTGCGCGCTTGCCTTTCGTTATTTACACTACAACTTTAAACACAAACAAGTATTATGATAATGTATATGACATTTTTCTGTGTGTTATTTTTTATTTCAGATCACATAGCACCCCGCGAGTTTCGTTTATCTGCACGTAAGAGAACAAAGTCTTAAGGAGCTTTTCTTGTTCGTTTGCTTGTTTTGCTTATATATATATATATATATATATATACACAATATGTTCATATCTGTGAAAATGTCTGTTACTGTAAAGCCTTGTTCTGAAAAGAGTAAGAAAAACATAGTTTTCATTTGAGCGATCTTTTCTTTTTTTTTTCCAGTGACTCACACACACACATACACACACACACACACACACACACACACACACACACAGAAGATGGACACAATGGTTATGTTTAGAAAGTACTAGCTTAGTTACTGAAAACTGTGCAGTATATAAAGGAATAGATCACCTAAAAATGAAAATGTACTCACTCTCATGCCATCTAACATGTAGATGAGTTTGTTTCTTCATCGGAACA